ATTACGTGAACAGTTGTCATTGGCGGAGAATCGTCAACAGATTGAAATTGACAGTATTCGTCACTCATTCTCGGTAAGATAACATGTTCTCACTGTAATCAAAATGTTTTGGTTTTTTTATCTATGTACACACTCTTCTGCCTCTTCATTCATCCTGGCTTCATTGCATCAGACTACTTGGTAAAAATAAGGTTGTTTAACTGCAGATTATATGTGAAATTGGTTCAGATATGTGTAAGAATTCTCTGTGAAATTTTCTGATTTTAACCTGACTAGAAATTGCTGATAATTTATCTTTCATACAACTGAAAGAAAATTCCATAAGTTTTCGGTGTAGTGTCAAATATCGCTAATTTCTAACAATTCCATTCGTGATCATATGACCCACACATTTTATGTTGTACATTGTGAAATGCACTTTGCTATGATGGAAAAGGGTTTTGAAAATGCAGTAAAGATAAAAAGATACAATAGATCTTGCATTATTCATATATCGCTAGATGTGATAGAAAATATATATTCCTAATTCCTATGAAATGGGGAAAAATAATAATGACATATTTTGTCCTGTGTGAAATTCATGTTTTTTGGGCAAGTTGGGGAACATTTTTGACAGGAAGATTGAAGACATTAAATGAATTATGAATATATTTTCTGATCCATATTATGCTCTTACTATTTTAGACGTCAAAGTCAGAGCTTGAAACGTTGCGAGTTGAACTGTCTGCAGCTCGTAAAGAGAAGTTTATGTTCCAAGCAAAGGTCACAGAATTGAAGGGTATACTGAAAGCCACTGTACAACAAAACAAGGTATGATGAATTTTGTGAGTTTTGCCTGAGAAGTCTGTATGTACATGTTTTGAAGCCCATAGTCGATATGACACTCCAGTGGTGCTGTAATTATGATGACGCAATATTATATGCTAATTCACTGGAATATTATTCATGCAATTGAAAATTGTACATTCATGATCTCAACAAGACATCTTGCTATAGTTACTTACAGATTTTGAAAAAGGAAAATAAAATTCAAATCTTATAAACAAAACAATTTTGTTTGTTTCTCGAATCACCTTGACTGCCACATACTATTCCAATTTTGTTTCTCGAATCACCTTGACTGCCACATACTATTCCAATTTTGTTTGTTTCTCGAATTACCTTGACTGCCACATACTATTCCAATTTTGTTTGTTTCTCGAATCACCTTGACTGCCACATACTATTCCAATTTTGTTTGTTTCTCGAATCACCTTGACTGCCACATACTATTCCAATTTTGTTTGTTTCTCGAATCACCTTGACTGCCACATACTATTCCAATTTTGTTTGTTTCTCGAATCACCTTGACTGCCACATACTATTCCAATTTTGTTTGTTTCTCGAATCACCTTGACTGCCACATACTATTCCAATTTTGTTTGTTTCTCGAATCACCTTGACTGCCACATACTTTTCCAATTTTGTTTTTGTTTCTCGAATCACCTTGACTGCCACATACTATTCCAATTTTGTTTGTTTCTCGAATCACCTTGACTGCCACATACTTTTCCAATTTTGTTTGTTTCTCGAATCACCTTGACTGCCACATACTATTCCAATTTTGTTTTTGTTTCTCGAATCACCTTGACTGCCACATACTATTCCAATTTTGTTTGTTTCTCGAATCACCTTGACTGCCACATACTATTCCAATTTTGTTTGTTTCTCGAATCACCTTGACTGCCACATACTATTCCAATTTTGTTTGTTTCTCGAATCACCTTGACTGCCACATACTATTCCAATTTTGTTCTTGATCTCTCTCAAATTGATTTTGGTATTAGATTCTGACAAATAAATGAATAAACAAAAATTAAAATAACAAACATATTTGTAACTGTTGTGGCATTTAATAATTTTGCATGGACTCTGATATTAAAGAGAATAAACTTCTTTACAATTCACAACAAATCACCAACAAACTACGGCAAAGTAATGTTGTTATCATCACATATTTTTAGCTCCGCTGTCGACTTTGTCGAGCGGAGCTTATCATATGAGTGATTGTCCGTCGTCGTCGGCGTCCGTCGTCGTCGTCCGTGTCAATGTTTTACTTCTTCGACTTCTTCTTGAAAACTACAAGCCTGAATGCTTT